GCCTCTGACCTCTTGCTGTGAGTCAGTGTAGTCATCGCCATGAAGTTCCAAGCCACTTAGAGTTACGACTGCTAATGAGACAGAAATGAGGACATCCATGGACAAGCCTACATAGTGTTGAAATACAGGTGCAGACGCACATTTGAACACACACACACACATAAACAAACTCAGCCTGCAGTTGCACAGCATGTCACAGCTCAGCAGCGGTGTAAGCAGTAAAACAAACATATAGAGATTCTGGTGAACATATGGCTGAAGTACACACACACACACACACACACACACACCCCTGCTTAAGTTGCAGTCATGGGTGAGCAGTAGTGTAAACGTATCGCAATCTGAATCAACCTCAGACATAAAAATGTAATAGCATCATCAGATAATGTTCATGCCTGTGCAGCCACCCTCTCTACAAACTGCATGTTTGTGTGCACAAAAAGAAAACCTCCCTGTATCCCTGAGCAACAGGCTGCAACACGGTGGAGATTCATTAGACAGTAAAGGGACTATTGAGCAGGTTTTGAGCAAATTTAAAGCCTGTTGTGAATCTTTTCACTTTGTGGTAATGTCTTCTTGTTGCTCCAAATTCTTGGTAAGTAGTTTAACATACAATATGGTCCAGAATGTAAACTTTTCCTTCACCTGAATCAAGGGTTCACACGGTGCACCACATAGCAAGTCTGTATTACACAGATTCAGTGCTGAGAAAGGAGGATAAGACATATTTGTGTCAGACTCGTTAAACAAAGTTTAAGCCCCATACATCAGCAGAGAAACCAGTAGCAGACAAAGAAAGAGGGACCGTTTGTGCTCTCAAACATAGCACACATCTATACTGCTGCACCACAATAGATAATTTCAGTGCCTGAATGAAAGCCCCTAATTCTAACGACCTCTTCTCATACAGCTCTGAGATCTCTAACCAGTCAATGTGTGTCACCAAGTGTGTGGGGCAGGCAGAGAATGAAAAGTGGGGTCTTGGCTAACAGAATGCCGGTCACAAGGTCACAACTATCAGATTAGGAGGGAAAGCGGATCCTGTTTCCCACAAACAGAGAATTAACACAGCCCTGCAGTGGCCTGCAGGAGCAAGTAGTGGGTGAGTAACCCTGGCTGCATTGTAAATACCAAGTTTCTTAAATTCACAGTCTAGCAGAGCTGCAGACAACATGAGCTATGTGCTGTGGACATTAAAAGATTCATATGAAAATCAGAGTTCAGTCTGGAGGCTGGAGAATTCAGCAATGATTTTCCTTACGTCGATGTTTGCTAAGCAAAGAGTTGGTTAGCACAGTGCTATGGGAACGTGCAATTGCGTGTACTGGACCGATACACAACATGGCTCAAAATGACTCTGCATTAACTGACCCAAGATCAGTTCTTTGCTGGTGTACCACAGATTCATTTTATTTATTTATTAGAGTCCACTGGAATGACATCACTGATACCCACACACAGGCACAGAATCATCAATAAAACCCCATCAAATCACTGCATCTTGCCAATAGTGGTAACTATGTGCTGAAAGGAAGCTAAAATGACTTATTGCTCTTTTAAGACTCCTAGGCTGCATCTTTCTACTGAACGATCCCGTCTCCTGTGGAAAGAGACAGTCAGACAGAGCCCCGCAGGCTCCTCACAGTCCTGCTCAGGCAGGCAGAAACAGCTTGGCTGTCAATCTGAAGAAGACACATTCCATAACAACAGGAGAATATGTAGCCTGTGGTGCCTAAACAACACTTACAGTGTGGGGAAGAGGTGGAGGAGTCTATACGTGGGACAGAAGAAAGACTCCCATCTGATGAATTATAGAAATGCAGTTTTCTCAGTAAACACCATCACTTATCAAGCAGGGCAGATCAAATTCTTAACATCAATTTTATGATTAATAAATAAATAAATAATACAAACTACAAACTCTGCTTTTTTTTTTTTTAGCTCAGTTTCATTTAGTTTTCAAGATTAACACATTTGCCCAATTTTATTTAGGTGGTTACCGGAAAATTCATTCAGCTTCATCACGAGTGGAGCCAAACCGATGCAATGAATTCTCTTATTAGATTTTACAAATTGGTACATGGCTTGACCTTGACATAGGTGTGATGTACAAAGCTGCCAAAGAACTGAAAACCAGCTGTCTTGTAGTCATCTTCAAAAAAGGACTACATGGAAAGTTTTTATAACTGTAATAACTCCACTAATTGGCCCACTGTCAAGTCAG